TATGACATTAATTATAAAATTAATGAAGAACAAGTAAATAAAATATGTCTTTATTAAAAACATATATACGTCAAAAAGACAAAAACAATTGAAACAAAAATCACCGCTAATGAATTTGTATGCTTTTAAACAAAAGACTTAAAACACAAACTTGTTACGAATTTATTGTCAAATGATAATTTTTGCATTATTATTAATCTCAGATTTTAACATTTTTTTACTAAATTTAAATAAACAGCAATATATATTTTGAACAGGTTTCCTTGACTGTTTTAAGTTTAATTATTAATAATTTGCTAATGGTGTTGTTATAAACAAATATACGCATGCAAATGAATTAAAATACAATATTTATCCTAATTTGTTTTGTAAATTTAAATATGTATTTTGATTAAGTTAATTACCTGGTCTTTGATTGAAGCGCTGTGAAAAAATGGGCGTAATCCATGCTAAACCAATAAAGGCGTAACACAATATATTAATATGCAATTTCATATTTATTTTTCACTTTTCTATGCTTTTTGAGATTTTTATTATTTGTATTTGCAAATAAATTAATTACACATAGTACGTTTTATCAAGAAAAACTTTAATTTTTTCTGATTAAATTATATATAATTTTGCTATGAACTTTTTTGCTTAATTTATCACTTTATTTAATTAATTTGAATCAAAATTTTTTATTCAAATTCTTCTCGTATCCTTTGTGTTACCGTACGCGTGCACGTTTGCTTTAAGACTGTTTGGTTCGATTTCGATGTATTTTGGTTGAGATTTGTTTAAGAAACACGATGTTGTCTCACTGCTCGTTCTCAATCTTTCTCACCTAAAGCCACTAAGCTTTGCTAGAGACCGCTTTATATCTGATATCTTTAGATACAAATTATTGTTGAAATATTTTCTAAATCACATTTGAGTGACAAGTTTTTTACTTTTGTGGTGAGTGTAACATGTTCTTCGATTTGGCTAATTAAGATTTTATTGATTTTGACTAAGAACTTTTTTATATGTATTTATTAGTAGTACTGATACATAACATAAAATGATTTTAGTCAGTTATTCTGTCAATATAAATATCTTTAGCTAAAATGCTAACAAATAAAAAAATAAGAAATGGAGGGGATCACTCCACTTAATGAAAAAACTTTTTAGTAATTATCTATAATTAAATATTATTTCATTTGAATTTTATATATTCAAAATGCTTTAGTAATATGTAAGGTAAAGATATCAAACATAATTTATCTTACCTTACAAGTAATGTAAAGAAAGCAATGATAATTAATAAATACGTAGTTAAAAATAAACGAGTTTTTTTTAAAAACAAATAGTCATTTGTTAAATACTATTTAATAATTAAAATTAATACAATTATATTTTATTTTTCAATATAATTAAAAAATATATACGCTGGAATAACTAGTACAAGTGTTAGATACTCTCAAACGTAAAAAAATTAGTGTATAATTTCAGAAATTAGTTCAAAATAATAGAGTGCAAATTTGTCACTAAACTATAACAATTAACTGATAATAAGTTATATGATAGGGCATAATTGCGATTTTTTGGACACAGATTGGAAATAGATTTTAATAGAGACAGCTGCTTTATTTATTTTTCTCACTACGCTTTATGTCAACAGAGCTTAGTTTTCGAGAAAGCTGGAAATTTTTACATAAAAACCGACAACAACAACTTAACATCTATTTGTTGTTAACCATCGTTTATTTAATCCATCGTTTAGTAAAAATTGTGTACTAGATAGCCAATGTGTATAGATTTTGCTAGTGTAATCAATATAAATAATGTACAAAAAACAAGCAAAGAAAATCGTATTAAATCGTATTAAAATAGTATTATATAAATAAAATATATAATAACGGAATATACATCCTTAAGCGTAGAAAATTCAGAATGAGAACAACTTCATTCACATAAAATATAGAAATTTGAAATGTAGTTATGTAATAATAATAGATGATTTAACGCACCACGATAAAAACTAAAAGATGCTGAAGTAACTAAGCCAGAACACATTTCAGGCTCCGACAAAGTGGTAAGTTCACTATCTTGCCGAACTATGTCAGTATTTAGAAACTTCAAATATAAATTATTTGCAAAATCAATGACCGATTCTCATAGTCATTATGTCATAAGTGACATAAGTTGTCAATTTATTTCAACAACTTATTGTTAACAAATACTGTAAACACATTGAGCTATTAAATTATATAAATAGCATACAATAAATCCCTTTATTTTAAATAATCGAAATATATTGTGAAAATTTAAAAAAAATAACATTCCAAGTAAAAGCACAAGAACATTTAAAAACAATTTTATGAAAGTGCTAGCAAACATCACTCAAAAATTCTCAACAACATTCACTAAAATAATTATGTCAGATATTAAACGTACCTTATAAATAAAGTGAGTTTACGGGGTAATGGAATTAAGCACTACTAAATTGAATTCATATCAATAACGCAGTAGTCTTTCATTTAAACGTGTTTAGGGATATTAAAATACTTTTAAAATTATATTAAAGATTTTAAACAGAAATATTTACCTATTCGATACTAAATAAAATAAATCTAAAAAGTTGTTTTTATTTTAGAAAGTAACAGCTAGAGTATTCACAAGGTCCGATAAAATACATGTCAAAATTAACACCAGCTGAAATGATTATTTCTTGCCCATTAGTTAAAATTTTATAATTGATTTTTATATAAGAGAGCGATAGTAATCATATTGTCCCTTTAAATGGAGCATGGAGTATGGCAAATTTATATTATATATATTTATATATATTATGACTTTCAAGGAATATAATTATTTTGACTATTTGAGAAAAAAAAATATTAAGCTTAGCATTATATAAATGATATATGATATTATGATATTATTATATTAACATACATTTAAGGACACCCTAAATATAGAGGGTTTTCTAATAGCAAAGAAAGAAAGAATGGACACACACAAAAATTTATTTAATTTTATTGAAGTTGGGCTGACCATACAACGCTGTTTCGAATATTGCCAAGTACTTATCATCAATGGTCTTAGGAAAAAATCGAATTTTTAATTAGTATATAGTCCGTATATTATTTGTTTTTGGACTGCAAGTGCTAGGCTTAGAACTCATGCCTATCAAATTAGAAGCGATGACAAAACGTGTTTATACCATAAATATAATATAAAAAATTATAAATTAAATTAAATTATGAATAAATTAAAATATATATTACGATATATTTTCATTCAAACAACTTCACTAATCTATAATAGATAAGAGCTGAGAACCTTTGGTGTCCTTACTTTGAATTTGTGATTCATTGTTTTTTTTTTATTTAATAACAACTAAATAAAAAATCTATATTAACTTTTTAAGTTTTTATACAAAATATGTAAAAATATTTTGCATTTATTAAGAACCTTAAAATGATTTTTAAATTTTACAAATATTATTTTTTATTCGCATTAATATTTGCATTTCATTTTGAATATGTGGTTCAAATTATTTTAATATATTCTGGCTCAAAACTCGTTTCATTATTAACTACTACAGGTTTTAAATTTAATTTAAAAATGTATTAACCGTTGAGCATTTGTTTAGGAACTTATAATTAATTATAGTGTATATTTAAGAGAAAAAAAATATACTACAAAATGGAATAAAAATTAAAATTTACATAGAATTAAAATTGACCTAACATTGTTCTGGAGAATTAATTTTATATTAATTTTAAAATAACGTTTCTATTTTTTTATAGCAACAAATTTACTTCATAGTTTTACAGAACAATTACAATATTACTTAAAAAGTACTGAATTCTAATTTTACATGGTACTTTTTAGCAAATCATTATTTTCATTTTTAAATTTATTATTTATACATAGTAATATTTTGAAACTTCCTATAGATGGAATTTTACACACAACCGGATCTGCTTACGAATTTATTTACACATTTGTCACATGTGTAAGTAGTGTAATTATAATGTATATAGTAAATAATATGCATCACAAATATTACATTAAAATGACATTAAAATATCATATTATTAAAAAAAATTAAATTAAATATTTTTCCGACTTCAGTGAACTTTTTTTTTAATTACGAAGAAAGTAAAAAAAATTAAATAGAAAGAGCTATTAATTATTTTGTAAATATAAATACTTTTGGATAAACTTAATTTACACGATGAAAATCACAAACTGATATTTAGTTTTTAATGTAAACATCAATAAGTGATCATCCAAACACGAACAGTAGTTGATTTGAATATCGAAATGAAACTAAGATTGACTAACTGTTATTTTTATAAATTTATTGATAGTATATTTACATATGTATATATATTCTATTTATATAAAAATAATTAAAACATTAAATAATTTGAGTATATTAATTAACTTCAAGTTAGATAATTCTAATTTTAATTGTGTTTGTGAGTTTACTGCTAAAATTTTATTATATATGTTTTTTATATCACATTACCAATATTTTGCCATTAAACATATTCGTAAAATAATTTTTTTTCTAGATTTCTTTGATTGCAATGTACATTAGTTTTTTGTACATTTTATATATTTTTACTGAGTTAAGTCACTTTAAATATTATAAAATAATTCACACGTTATTGTTGTTGTAAAACTCATTGTTATTCAAGTGGAACAGCAGATTTTAGTATTTGAAGTTGTTTGAGATGTTTATTTTTAATACTGTTCTCTCATTTTTGGAGCTACACACATCAGAAATGCATATTAAGTTACACGTTAAACTCATATGATGGCAAAAAAACCGTTCCAATAAAGTTTATACATTAAAATGCTGTAAACTGCCTACATTCCAAAACTGTAGGGATTAAGTGGTTCAATACAAATTA